AACCACCTCCATATTCTTAGATAACTACTCTTTTCTTACATCTAGTTTTTGAGTACTAAATTACACAATTCTTCTATCACAAATTAAAATAGATTTAAACATCCCCTCACTCCCTGTCAGATTAAAAGTTCAAGGCTTACACTGCTAAGGGAAACCTAGACGGATCCTATTTCATAGAATTTTCACCAAGGAATTACATTACCTTGAGGGAAATCAGGCAGCCAAAGACTTCAAACTCAGATCAGGAGATCTTTCTTGTTCTGAAATTAAATTTGGGGGTTTATATAAAGATCATAGATTTAAGGAATGGTTTGGATTGGATGGGACCTTTAAAGATCATCTAGTGATACATCATACCTACACTATTCAGAACTTTCACATAGTTAGCATAATTTACAGTTAATCCCCAGCTTCTCAGTTTATCATCACTGGAGGAAAACCTGTACTGGTTTTGGCCGGAATAGAGTTAAATTTCATCATAGTAGCTAGGGCTATGTTTTGGATTTTTGCTGGAAAGAGTGTTGATAACACAGGGACATTTCAGTTATTGCTAAGCAAGGCTTACATCAAGGCCTTTTCTGCTCCTCACCCCATCCCACCAGTGAGGAAGCTGGGAGGGAACACAGCCAGGACAGCTGAACCCCACTGACCAAAGGGATAAATCCTACCCTATGGTGTCATGATCAGTATATAAAGCTGAAAGAAGAAGGAGGAGGAAGCAGAAGCATTCAGAGTGGTGTTTGTCTTCCCAAGTAATCATTTTGCAAGACGGAGCCTGGTTTTCCTGGAGATGGCTGAACACTGAACACCTGCCTGGCCATGGGAAGCAGTGAATAAATTCCTCATTTTGCTTGCATGTGTGGCTTTTGCCTTGGCTATTAAACTGTCTTTATCTTAACCCATGATTTTTCTCACTTTTCTGCTCTCATTCTCTTCCCCATCCCACAGAGGGTAAATGAGAAAGCCGCCATGGGGAGGGAAATGGTGTAACTGATTTGATCAAACTCTTTAAATATTTTAGTGAGCCAATTTCTTTTGTATTTTTCTTGTGCTGCTGTTCACTATTCCATTTACCCATGTAATGAAAAAAAACAATTTGTTAATGATCATAACCTGCTTCCTACTCCAAAAGCTACCTTCTTTCTTCCACTAAGTGAGAAAAATATTTCTTTCCATCAACTGGACTGGGAAGTCTGCCATGTGAAAAAAGGCTGAAAGAACTGGGTTTGTTCAGCCTTGAGAAAGGCAAGCTTAGGGGAGACCTTATCATTATGTTCCAGTATTTCAAGGGTGGCTACAAAGAGGGTGAAGACTCCCTTTTGACAAGGAGTCGCAAGGAAAAGGCAAGAGGTAAGGGGTACAAGCTACTCTTGGGGCCACTCAGATGAGATTCAAGAGGAAAATGTTTTGTAATGAGAACAATGAGCCTTTGAAACAATCTCTGGACACTTTAAAGATTTGTGTGGACAGGGTGCTGGGTCATCTTGTCTAGACTGTGATTATGCCAAGAAAGGACCAGATGATCCTTGAGATTCCTTCCAACCTATTCTATGATTTTATGAAAAATTAATGAGACTCCTTTGTAATTTTCTTTGCATTTACCTTTGGAAAAGTGGGATTGTGAAATACCCATTTTGGGGATTATTTTTAAATGGAAAGTCTTTTAAAAAGCCTTAGCTGAATCAGGTCCACAGAGGAGCTGTGAGAAATGAAAGGTTAATTCAGAAAGAAGGGACTTGAACAGCTCATCAGAAGTGGATTTGTACCCTTAGAATAAATAATTTGTTATATTTTTTACTTTCTGCTGTTTCATTATATTTCCTTTTCCAGTGCTAAAGTCTGTATCTTCACTCAAAACCTAATGGAAAATTTTTCAATATTGAATAGCAAAGACTACCAAGCAAAATCAAAATTGATTTGAAACAAGATTTCAGATTAAAAATGTTCACAAGTAAAATAAGGAATTTCAGTCAACAGCCTGCAAGTTGCAAAGACATTGAAAGCAAAAGCTTATACTGAACATCATTTACTTCAGAAGTGAGGGAAAGAAAAAGTAACGGTTAAAGGAGTAGGAAGCAAAGAAAATGAAAAGGAAAGCTTGGCAGGCTTCAAGATATATTACTGTTTTATTTCCTAATGAGAAGATTATAATTCTATAGCCAATCATGACATTAAGTGACACACAATATCTTCCTCAGCTGTTTATATCTCTGGCTTTCTTACACACTTCATCAACTAAGCAGCAGTCTATATAGCTTCACGCAAACTTATTTATGAACAAGTTTTAGTATTAATAAGGTTAAAACCTTATGGATTCAACAATTCTGAACTATATTGCCAGTTCATCATTTCTAAGTCCCATCTGATACTTTGAAATGCTTATCTCTGGAATATCAAACCAAATTAAATGTGGACTAGCAGTCAAGCAGAAATCAAAATATGCAAATTTCCACATATCTCGATTCCTTAATGATACCTCATATTACTAGTAATACTCAAATAGTAAAAGTAATTAAATGTGAAACTAAAATTGTAATAGTAATTAAATGTGGGTATAATGTACATGAAATTTCTCTTTTCATAGAATTACTGCTTTTTAATTTCACAGAATCACAGAATATGCCAAGTTGGAAGGGATCCACAAGAATCATCAAGTCCAACTCTTAGCCCAGCACAGGATCATCCCCAAGAGTCAAACCATGTGCCTGAGAGCGTTGTCCAAACACTTCTTGAACTCTGTCAGGCTCGGTGCTGTGACCACTTCCCTGGGGAGCCTGTGCCAGTGCCCAATCACCCTCTGGGTGAAGAACCTCTTTCTAATATGCAACCTGAACCTCCACTGACACAACTTCAGGCCGTTTCCTTGGGTCCTGTCACTGGTCACCATAGAGAAGAGATCAGTGCCTGCCCTCTTCTTCCCCTCAAGAAGAAGGCTCCGCATATGGCTTCCCCTCAAGGCCCTTCACCATCTTTGTTGCCCTCCTTTGGACACTTTCTAAGAGCTGAATATCTTTCTTATATTGTGGTGCCCAAAACTGCACACAATATTCAAGGTGAGGCCACCCCAGTGCAGAGCAGCGTGGGACAATCCCGTCCCTCAACCGGCTGGTGATGCTTTGCCTGATGCTCCCTAGGACACAGTTGGCCCTCCTGGCTGCCAGGGCATTGCTGACTCATATTCAACTTGCCATTGACCAGGACCCACAGGTCCATAGCACTGCTTTCCAACATCTTATTTTCCAGTCTGTAGGTACATCCAGGTCTGCCCCATCCCAAGTGCGGAATTTGGCACTTCCTCTTATTATGGTTGGTGATTGCCCAGTCCTCTGACTTGTTGAGATCTCTCTGCAGGGCCTCCCTGTCTTCGAGGGAGTCAACAGCTCCCAGTTTTGTATCATCTGCAAACTATCCCTTCCAGTCCTGTGTCATTTATGAAGATGTTCAAGAGGACAGGGCCCAAGATGGAGCCCTGTGGAACCCCTCTAGAGACAGGTCACCAGTCTGATGTTCCCCCATTCACTATTACTCTCTGTGCTTGACCCATGAGCCAGTTGCTCATGCACCACATGATGTGTTTATCCAGCTGTGTGCTGGACAGTTTGTCCAGAAGGATCCCGTGAGAGACAGTATCAAAAGCTTTACTGAAATGCAAAAAGATTACAGCAACTGGCTTCCCTTGATCAGCTAGGTGAGTTACCTTCTCATAAAAGGGAATCAGGTTGGATAAGCAGGACTTTTCCCTCATGAAGGCCATGCTGGCTGTGACCAATGACTGCGTTGTCTTTCAGGTGAACCTTTCTCTTAAAGTATTCTAGATGAAAGTGAGTTATACTAACAATCTAGGATATACAGTAAACTATAAAATCTTCCACTTTTAATGCTGCCTTTTTGTGTGTGTTCTCTTCTGTAGCAGAAACTTACATTCTATATAATTCACCATTGAACGCAATAATTTTGCCACATTAAGTATGGGCTTTTTTTCAGCAAAACTTCAACAACTTTCAGGCAGACAACAGTCTCTTTATTTATAACTCTTTGGAATAGCACATTTCATCAGTGGTTAGGAATAATTATTTACCTTTCAGCTTAGATGTCATCCTGGCCATGTTTCAACAATTGGAGGGTAGTACTTCCTGATCACTCATGCTTCTTAGGATAGAAAAATATAGTGCCTATTTTACACTTCTTAATCAAATTGGAGCAGGTATATTTAACTGAATATGTTTCAAATAATCAGTCTTGCTGTAGTATGAAAAAGTCAGTTGAATTAAACCAAGTAGACAATTTTTTTCTCTTAGATGCAGGGCAGTTTGAAGCCTTTACATACAAGTATCAGTTCTTACTCACCTGGGGAGGTCTACTGATGCAAGTGGTTTTATTTCAATGAGCAAAAACTGCAGGGTTAAAATTCTTATCAAAGAGTAACTTTATTGAATTTCATATGATTCACATTAACTGCACTATGTAAACTGTCAACTTTACATTGCCTGAACATCTACTATCACTAGCTCTGCATGCTATCTCAACCATCTCTTGCAACACCATGTTTAAGATATGAAAACAATTTTAAAATCCACCCGTCTAACACAAGTTTAGACATACTATACTTTGTTCCTGTTACAGCCAGGAACAAAGAGCAAATGAGGTACCTTTAGATATTGTCCATCTGTATTCATCAGGGACCAAATGCCATAGCACTGATTAAAATCACAAAGAATGTAAGTAATCCATATTAGGTCATCTCCTGCTTAAAGACTTTACCATTCACGAAACACCAATATTGATTTATAGAAGGCATGCAAGTCAGAATGGACCATGCATAACAAAAAAGCTGAAAAAAAAGCAAATGGAAAGAGTAAATACCTATAATATCAAAGGGTTTCACACACTGAGGCAATGCAAGCAATGGCAAACAGTAAAACTTTTAAAATAAAATAAATGTAACACCTCTGAAGTTCATCTGAGCATGCCACCATCATGAAATGCAACTTTTCACTCACCAAAGAAGAGTTATGTGAAGCATCACCTGAGACCTCGGGTGTTCTTGTGCTGTTTGGAAGTCTGTGAGGGTTACGAGCTATCGCTTGGCACCAGCCCAACATTTTCTCCTTCCACTTATCCCTTCTCAATTTCTGAAATTCTGAAAATAATTTAGATTCCCTGAAACATTGACACTTTGAAATCATTGTGTGCATGTCTCTGGATGCATGCCTTTAAAACCAACTTTTTAAGTTATATCTGAACAAGCTAATAAACATATTTTTAAAATAACACCTGAAGAGTGATACCCTGCAGGTTAGAAAAGAGCTATGCACTTGCAGCACACTTTACATGCATTAATACTATTTCAGTGTCAGCAAATGCAGTGTCTTCTTTGCCTGTTAAATCTTTCTCAAGTTGTCACCTTAATTTAAAAAGTGTTATTTTAAAGGGATTTTATTACAAAATAACTGTGAGACTAGCACCATCCTGAAAAACATATAGCATTTGGACACAAAACCCCACATTTCCTGAAATAACTAGAAACAGGCCTAAAGGAGTAGCAAATATTAAGCGTAACTCAACAGTGTAAGAACATACAAACGTGTATTTATGCCCAGACACACCAGAATACCTGGCTCATCTTGAAGTGTTACATTAGGATGCATTGTAAATAGCAAAAAGTAATGTACACACAACAGCAATAAATGCTATGTGCCAACTGTAAATTGCATGCAAACTTATTTTTTAGTTTGTAACAATAAAAAAATACCTTTTAAATAACACTAACACATTCGGGAAATGCAACACTACTAAAGTGTGGGTTTAAGTGTAAGAAGCCTTCATAAACATGTTTAAAAGTTCACAATCTGTTTTTTCCCACTTGAAATTGGTAATGGAGGTGTTCAGTGCAAAACTTTGCTAATTAATTACAAAGAATAACTTTGGGCTATTTTATTCTCCACAACATCTGAAGCAATTTCTAATCTGGTTGTTTATAATGCTTTTAATTTAAAACTTGTTACTCTGTACCATCATAAGACATAATAAACAAAAAGATTAACCTACCAGATTGAGTGCCTAGTATTCCAAATAGAGTTAGCATTAGGCTGAATACAACTGGAACATACATACAATAATGCTAAAGACCTTACATGGCACAGTAGCATCTATGTAATGTCACTGAATATTAGGCACGTGTAAAGTAGGTTTGTTTTTTCTGCAATACATCTCCATGCAGTACACAAAATATGCTTGAGTCTGACAAACTACAGCCCCCTCTTGAATAACTACAGTTCTACCATTTCCACACGTGACCATTAATATATACTTTTTGAATTATGAAATGCACCAGGCTGTATTCCCCACAGAACCTCATGGAACTGTTAGGAATAACTGGAAATTAGCCTTTGCTTCATTGTACTGGAGGTGGTTAGGTGAGCGAGTCTACAGATGAACTCATAATTTTTCAGTCTCCTGAAATCTTAACATGAGATAAAAAATCATGCTAGGAAAGTGATAGTAACATGAAGACTGCCACACAGCCTGTTGACTGCAGAGTCAAAGCCATTTTTCCATTATAAAATATTTCAGTGTCGACTTAAAAGAACTCAGTCCTCCAGAGCACAAACACGATGCAGCAAAGGTTTCACAATGAAAAATCCGGCTAAAGCACCAACTAAACTCATTGTCACCAACTTAGCAGCAGTTAAAATTTCCACTGGATTAGAGCATCCATCATCTTGCAAGCCCTACAAGACTGTTTATTTTCCTTAGTTCTATAAATGCAACTAGAATGTTACATACCAAACTCGATGTTTTTGAGAGTAAAGAAAGTACCAGTTTGTGCATTTAAGTAACCTGTACCCAGATACAAAAAATAAATCCATGTTTTAACTATTTCTCATTGTATATCCAACATATCATGAAGTACATGCAGCTGAAACTGGAGAAAAAGTATCAGGAGAATCGTATGCACGTGTCCTCCTCTGCAACTTGGAAAGATAAGCACTTAATATGGGACAACCAATCAGAATTTTCAGGGTTTTTTGAGCTTCTATGGCAAATCCTAGATAATTTCTGTGTCATGTGCTCAAATACTTTTTACTAACTAAGCAAGACTGAAAAACAGTGGAGTCTGACTTCTAATAATGTTGGGTTGAGGAAAAAAATCCTTAAAAAAATTAAAACCAGAACAAAACCACAAAATGCATATTTGGATTAAACTTAATAATTTAAGTCTCCTCCAGAAGAATACTAAATAAAGATTACAGCCCAGAGAAATGTATGTATAAGTTTTTGGCTTTTTATTTCTGAAAAGATCACAGACTTCACCGTTCCTCTGAATGCACACTATGAATAAGGTGGCTACACATTCAACTGGTGCATCTCACTACCTCGGAGCCCTATTTACTGCTTTGGTACTTTCCTGAAGAAAGAACAGGAACCTGGGGATAAACAACCAAAAGCCTATGACTTCTAAGGAAGTCTTCACTTTTTTTAATCTTTATTTTAAAAATACTTCTTTACAGAACAATGTTCAGATTGTAAACTTCCTGACCATTATACCAAGTTTGGACAAGCTTTCTACTACTAAAAAAAATCCCCAAACCCCAACCCTTAAATGGTCACTCATACACATCCTTCCCTAGAATGCAATAAACATGCTTTTGCAAAGAGAGTAAAAGTAACCTAGTAAACTTAAGTGATTTAAAAGACACTATATGAATAAAACTTATGCTTCCCAAGGTCCCAGAGCTCTAAGGTGAGTTTGAAAGTCTGTTACACCTACTGAAGAGCAGCAGCTCACATGAGTAGTTAGCTGAAGCTTCTTTTTGAACCATCACACTCTTGATCACTGATTAAGAGGTAAAGTTTCAGGTCTTCACTGAAGACCTTTTCTAATATTCTATTAGTTCTGATGAATTAATATCTTATTATTATAGGCTTATATTTTAATATAGCTTTACGTATGAGGCTACTTTCTTTGTTTCTGATTGTCTATCAAATTTTCAAGTAAATTTTTAGCAGAAATGAACCTATATTGTTGCATTTTTAAGTGCACAGTGAATTCTTCCAGCAATGTATTTAGTGTAGAGAAGTAATGCATACTCCACAATTGCTAGAGTCATGGAGAACTCACACCTGGGATGGATATAAGCCAATTCAACCTGAGAATACAACTCTTCACATAACATAAAAGCATACAACATGTAAAGCAAACTACATAGTTTGAGTTTGATCACAGATGAAGTGAAATAATAATTTAGTCTAGGGAATATTCTGCAAAATGACTGCACAGTGGATACTACTTAGACTGATGAAGAACCATAAACCCCAGGCAACAGCTGTAGTTCAATACGACAAAGGTAACTATTTGAAGTCATTAAGTTATGAGTTTCTACACAGTTGAGACAGGTATACATAATTTTAGCAATCTTCAGCAGATCCTCTGTAATGTCAGCTGGCAAGAAGTCTGGACCCTCAAAGCCTTTAAAAACCATGTTTGTTTAGAGCTCCACAGTCTGCTTGAGCCACAAATGTAGTGGAGTGGGTGCCCAAGACCAGTGTGTGCCATCTACCTCAAGCAACAGCCTCCCAAAGATTTGCAAGACCATTTCAAAAAGTGACACAACCATCACCCCTCAGTAAGTGATCAGTCAATCCTTTCTACACTGCCTGTAGTTGTGAAGACAAGGAATCATCCAATTATAGTTACAGTCCTATTCTGTTCCTCTTGGTGTGCAGAACCCTTTGGAACATCAGCAATTCTTTTTTTGGCCCGAGCAATCAAAATGATGACTACCACAGCACAGATCGTAACTGAAAGGAGGACTTTGCACTTGCTCATACACCTGAAGAACCACCATCACAAATAAATTGCCTGAAAACAATCTTAATGCATCCCTTATAGATTTGTTAAAAAATAAAATAATTACTTCATTCATATTTTTTCAGAGGAGAAAACTTTTACCTATAATTTAGTCAAGCAAAGGGACACACACAATTATGGATTCAAGTTCATCTTGCACAATATCAGTGCTAAATAAAAAGTGGGTTAGTAAAGAATGTTGGGCTGAATGCAACAGAAATCTCTGATTGCTTCTGCTCTTTTTGTGGCACAGGTGAGTCATCGGCTTTTCTCAACCAGCCAGTCAATATTAAAAAAAATCATATTAGAATATATATGATTGTGACAACAGCTGTAAAAGTCCTGTATAATTCAGCACTGTGGTGGTTCAGCAGTGGTTCAAGTCGGGAGGAAAATTTGTTTTCCACATACAAATCTGATAACTGTAAAATTTTTTTTTTTCATCAGAAGTGTTGAGTACTATCTGCCCCTCTAAACAGAGGAATAAGTTTGTGAGTCCAGCATTGAATTAAAATAGCTTGAAAGGCCACCAAGCTACTAAAACCTTATCTTCCTAACCCATACCTGTAGCAATCAGCTAAATTACCTGATACCAAATAAAATACCTAAAGTTCTAGCCTCATTATAAACAACGCAGAGACCAACAGAAAACAAGCACACATGCCCACAAATTACTCAGTTGGCATGAGTCATTGATACCATCCAAGGCTATAACGGTACCAGTTTTCTTGTATAGCTACTGGATACACACAATCAAACACCTCTGCATTAAGTGTATGTAAGACTCTGAATTCAAGCATGTTGTCCTGTTTATTAGTGATGGTTTTCAGAAGTACTCCTAGGGTACTACTCAAAGAGTAAACCCAATTATGCACAACTAAATGCCTTTCTGTAGCTGCAAAGACAGAACAAAGTTGTCATTTAACCTAGCCTTGGAGTTCCTTAAAAACATCATCACAGTATCAGCAACCTTCTCTAGAGCATTAGATATTTTATTATAACCAAGTTTTCTAGAACTTGCTTCAATTGCATATTTAAGCCTGTAAACTGTTAACTATGGCATCTTCTTAAATTATTACCTATATTGTCTAATCAATTTTCAGAAACTATAATGAGGCTATAATGTGCTGTACCACAATTAACCATATCATTATTCCCAACTAAAGACAGCCTTTGTAGTTTTGTTCTTTTCTGCTACACTGCTAATACATATTTTAGGTTGTCCTTAGCCCTTCAAGACTTTGATTCTTTTTTGTCACAACTAAGAATCTAAATTTTACTCATTATTT